TTATAAAAGATGACTGTATTAAACAGTTACCTTCTGCTTTTAAATTATGTTACATAGGATGTACTTGTAATATGATTGATAGTTTATTTTAAGGGACCAGGTAACTTTAGATTTTATGTAATATGTTTTATGAGTGTTTTGAATGTTAAATACTATATATATATATATATATATTCATTTCAGATTCATAACATGTGGTTCTGTTTCTTGTCTTTTGTAAAAAAGGAAAAGTAATGTCAAATTAATTCATGTATTTCAAGCTGTTTATTCTCCTTACTTAGAGTTGAATTATTATGAAAGCACAGCATGGAAGCAAGATACTTGTAGTCCAGCAGATGTGATCGGTGCATTACGTTCACATCATTGGATAATAAGTAGTGATGAACAGGTAAGAGTGTACAGTATTGCTTAAATGAAATAGTCAGGGTCAGAGTTCTACAATGGATATCAGAAAGTTAAACTGATTATTTAAGCAGAACTAATTTGTAATAACATCCTTTCACAGAACTAATTGTGTGGTGAAGGCAGAGTCTGGTAGATGTTTGTTTCTACAATATAATAACAACTTGCTAACAGAAAAACAAAACAAAAATCTCCATAGCATAAACTTTAGTAGCCTTCCTATAATTAGAAACTTACAACTTACAAGACTGTAAATGTGAGATTCAATCCATGAAAATATAACAAAGTTATCTATTTATAATGTTTCTACAAGCTACATTCATATTGACAAAAGTTGTAGGCTTAAGTTTGCTGTTAACTTTTCATCATAAACTCCACAATTAAATATACTTATGTAGAACTAACTTCAAATACAATGTTTCATTATAAACTGTGAGGCATACACATAACTTAATTAACTTTGATACTGGTAGATAAACATGTAATTCACTGAGTGACTGAATAATGGAATAAATGCAATATCCAACTGAATTATTCTATGAACTCTCAATCTCTTTGCAACTGACTATGTCACTTACATTAAATAATTGCTTGCTTGCTTGTATTCATAACTAATGTACCCATCTAGATCTTAGTCAAGTTTACTAGATCTTAACCTCATGCATACTCTAGCTAACATCTAAGTTAAAGCATTGAAAATATAAATTACAACACTATATGTTATTGCATTTTTGTTATGTTAAAATGGCTGTATTTAGTTTCTGATTTTTCTGAGTTTAATGATACTTTTCTGGTTTGTTATTATTGTCTAGTTATTTGTCTATAAAATTAATATGTGTTTAAATCAATTCAGAAACAATAGTTTATTTTACCATCCCAACAATACTTTTTATTCTTAAAACTGTGTTGACTTATCTGTTAACATATCAAGAGACTGACTGTTGTTAAGTATACAATATGTTTTAATTATATCGGTTTCTCTTACTGTGCGTACTTTTATAGACTAATGCTAGATGCTAAAATCTTGAACAAAAGAACATTTTTTAGTACAGGAATAGCTTATTGGCTTTACAGATTTAGGCCTAGGGCTCCATACATTATGGAGAGCATCATGCATTAGTTGAGGTGTTCCACATTAATTCCAATGGAAAATAAATTTATAAGTACGTACTTGTAATTAGTACTTTTATCTTAGTCTTTGAAATCTACAAAACTTAATGTGTCTTCCCCCTCCACTTGAGAGAATAAAAGAGGCTTATGGGGAGGCTTAGTAAATATGACATGCATGTACAAACCAATTTGGTAATATCATAAGTGCTAGAATTCATTGTTTTTTCTATATATTTCTAATGTATTTTGTTATGTTGTAAGAAAACTAACTAAAAACTGTGCATTTATGAGTAAATAGTAGTAATATCTGTACATGTTCATAAGCACTTACGTACTTTGTACACTTACATGACTAAATTCTGGCTACCCTTGAGGATATCTAACATCCAAATAGCTACCAACTTTATTGGATCAGTCCAAACTCTACAGAGCTACATCATAAACATCTTCATGTATATTTATAGACAAATCTCCTTGCAACCACTATACCTATAAACAAGCCAAAAAAACCCTTCCATTGTGTTCTCAGAGCTGTGTAGGAAAGTTCTGGTAATTGCACCATATGAGCTTATTTGCTACTGATGGTGTCATATTATGGTGTCACATAAACAGTTTAATGGCAGGAGCACTGATTCATTGTTTTATGATAAGTATGTTTCTTCTTCAGCCACTAACAATAAAATAAGCAAAGCAAATAGATGTGAAAAGGTTAGAAATAGTAACTTTCAGGGGAAATATTTTGTGGTCAGTACTAAAGAGGATAGAACAGTACTACTCACATTGTGATACATTTTTCAACCTTTAAAGTTTTATGGTGGTTGTAAGGTTAGTCAAACTGACCAACCTCACATAGAATTAGGGTAGAGAAAATAATAGATAAAATATAGTTTTACTGCAAAAAAAAAGGTTTGGTGTTGATTTAGGAGGGTATAGAGCATATGCGAATGAAATTTGAAATATTTCCGATGAACAAATGTATTCTTAATCTTAATATGAAAATCACTTTTCTCTCAGAGCAGTCAACACTCTGACTCCATATATTTATGGAAAAATTTTAGTAAAAATACTTTATTAAAATAATTACTTTTTCGTCTACAAAAGGCTTGTAATGTTTACTAACAGCTTGAAAAATTTCATGAAGATACACAAAACTTTTTAAAAGTTGTAGTATAGTAACTTTGATAGTGATGTGGTTGGTGTAATCTACTGAGTCAATAGCAAAATAATTAACAGTGTTATAGAAGAAAAGGGATCTTGGTATTTTGGTGGATCAGGCTCTTAAGCCGTGAAAGTAATTTTCTGTTGCTTGTGGGATTTTAGTTTGTATGTACAGAAATATTGAATACAAGTCTAAAGAGGATATAATTTCATTATAAAGGTCACTGGTTAGGCTACATTTGGAATATTGTGTTCAATCTTGAGTGCCTTACCTTAGGAAAGACATTGAGCTCAGAGGAGGGCTACTAAGATAATACCTGGGATGGAAAGTTTGTCATAATAGTATAGGTTAAGATCTCTGAAGTTGTTTTCTATTGAAAACAGTACAGTTAGAGGGGATCTGATTGAGGTGTTTAAGATTGTAAAGGAAATTGAAAGTGGAAATGCATCATCTTTTCTCATACTTAATAGTAGGATTAGGAATTGCAAATATAAATTTTGGCAGAGTAGTAGTCATCTTCATCAAAGACAGCTTTATTTTTCTAACAGAATGGTTGGCCTATGGAATGGGTTACCTTCAGGTGTGGTGGATGCAGTTAATGAACAGTGTTTACTAAAAGGATTAATCAATATTTGTACGATATGGGCTGGCTTTGAATGTTTTGTTTTTATTTTAAAATTTACTGGATGTGATGGCCTAGATGGACCAACAGGTTCTTTGTTGTCCTTAAATTGTACATTACTAACAACATTAATGTCAATATAGAGAACTGCAAAAATGGCTTTGGCCAAAATGTTTTCAACTGGTGGTTGAACATACTGCTGATTCCATTCCAGTTCATGCAAAGTTTTGTATTATTGGTGACCTCTAAAATTATTCATATATTTCTTTATAAGTATTGTTTCTTCACTTTTTTTCTAAAAATGATTATTTAATCTGATTTCTCACAATGGTAATCTAAAAAACATTTTCCTCAAAAAAGTTTTCTGACATTTCATGTTTTGTTATACAACCACATGTTTTTGAATAAACCAACTTAGTTTGACTAAAGACTGTAGTAAAGCACATCTAGTTTTGTGCTGTGAAGGCTCACAGGAATAATAAAATCAATTTGTTATACTACAAGATGGTGTTTGTTAGGTATGCATGTACTTTTAAAGCATTCTGTTTTATTACACTTTTATTATGCTGCTGTTTGCTCCTTCAGGTTGAATAACTTATTTTGTATTATTTGGCACTGTATGAATATTTTAACAAATATATGTATTTACTGAAGTAAATACTATGATCCTAAATACAAATAGTGGGATAATTTTGAATTAATAGTTTATTACCTCATCTTCATTTCTAATGTATAATGTTTTTAATGAAAGAAGCTTTTGACCTATTATGACAACATGAAAAAGCCAGTTTGTTAATTTTTTATGGTCTAGAGAAATTTGATTGCAGAAACAATATAAATTGCTTGATGTGTTTTGTAACTAAGTAATTTCCTCCTTGTGAATCAATGCCTCGTCCGTACGTCTGATAAATTTATTTGTTTGATATATACATAGAAATTATGTCAATCAGGAACTATCAATATATTTTTGTGCTCTAAGACAATGTTGTGGAAAACCTATCAAAATAAATTAGTATGACGACTTATATGAGTTTTATTGAATGTACACAACTATATTTTTATGATTGTTTGTGATTGGCTGTCATTGACGTATTTCTGGGGATAAAGTATGCAATCTTTCTTTCTTTCATTCTTCTTCTTCTTTTTTGAGGAAGACTGTGTTATGGTCATTCACAGTGTTACATATTACAATTTTCAATAGCTTAAACTGAGTTAAATTGTAATATATATTTAGTAGTTAAATAAATGCAGATATATATATATCCAATTTATGATATTTGCCAACAAGATTGATACACACAGTTTTCTATGTTTTAATATACAAACAATAATACAGTTTACAATAACAGTTACTACAACCAATGATTTATATACAAAAGTTCCACAAACTTACAAGCAATACAAAGTTTTCTTTCTAGTCTGGAACTTCCTTGATATCTTATCGAGGGTTCACAATGAGTGAGTTAATTTCGAGTTGACGTAGATACAATTCACTTAGTATGGAGCTTACTAGCTCTGTGGGCCTCACTGATCATATGCCAATTACAGGTTGAGCTTGTGTTTTTCTACTGCTGAAGTTATATAATGTCTTTGTAAAAGTATTGATGTCCAATGTGAATCCACTGAAGTTAAATGGTTTATAGTGTTCGAAATTTAAAAATGTTCCTAGTCAAATATTTGAAATTTTCTGATTAATAATCATTAATCACAATTATAGCTTCTGAGGTTTACAGTATACCATCTGTAGCAAACCAATAATAGATGCTAATATTTTGGCACAGCACGTTGGTTACATTTTTAGGCGTGTGGAGGCTTTCTAGAAAATTCAGATTATGTAACAATACAAAGCTACATTTAAGCATTTACGTACATACATATATTGTCGATTTTTACTCTCGAGAATCTTCTACAACTTTGGAGAATAGGTGGGAGCTTTGCAATACATATTTAACTGTATAGGCTATGTATGTTTCTAAATATAAAGTTAATTTAAGCAAACATTGATATTAAATAAATATATAGTAATAAATCCATCACAACAGACCATAACAACATACAATAACATTCTAGATTCCAAAGACTGTAAAGTTTATTG